CCTCCTAAAAGCTAAACCAAGTATTAAGTAACGGGAATTTCTCGTTAGAAATAAAGAAAAGAGTACTGGACTGCTATGTACTATCGGCCAATCTATATATCAGTGAAGGCAGAACAATCTCATCAGAGACGAAGAAGAGACAAGAAGCAACAGAAATATGTTTTTACAGAAGGATGCTGAGAATAAAATGAACTGATCTTGAAAGCAATGATTAATTTTTAGAGAAAATTGGAATAAGGACATTTTTACTTAACATCAGAAGACAGTTAACATTTTTCTACATAATGAGGAAAATAAGTTTGGAAAATTTGACGCACACACGACATATTGAAGGCAAGAGGGACAGAAGAATTCAGCATATAACCTACCTAACATATTTAAATGGCTAGCAGAAGAGTAATTAGGAGAGATAGCATAATATAGTATAAAATACTATAGAAACATAATATATTAAGAGCTAGAAAGGACGGAAAATCGTGAAGATCAATAATCGCCCATAACCTGAAAGAATACGGCAGATGAAAAAGAAGAAGAAGAAGAAATTTTTTTTTTAATCGAGTTCACCCAAAGCATGGTAGCAAATTCACTAAGACGCAGGGGTTACTTGGTGTGGAAGAGTTAGAAACAGGCAAGAACATGGGGTCGAGTAATCAGGCGGACAGCTGATGATAATTGACCTTGCATATAAACATTTGCTGATTAAAGTTGACTGAAAATCATGCAGCTGGAAGAGAGTTCCTCAAACGAGAAATGTGAGCAAAGAAACTGTTAACGCGGAATTTACGTTTACATCTAGCCAGCACGACTATAATTTGGTGAGACCTCATCGCCAATCAAGTACTGCGTTTAAATTCGAAGGCACAATAGCGATGAGCTCATACGAACAACTGCAATGAAAGTATTTATAGAAAGACCAAAGAAGAGAACCTTACGGCGCCGGAAAAGTGACTGAAGATGATACGCCAAATCGGGGTCATTAATATTGCAGATTTATCTTTGAAATTTATCAAGGAGCTATAGATAGATAGCAGGATTACCGGGCCATATTTGGCAGAAACATTCTAAGCATGGATGAATGGTAAATCGTTCAACACAACACAATGAACCAACCTCGCTAGCAATGGATTCAATATAGTATTTAGTTCATGTCAAACGAGAACGTTACCCTAAGAAGGTAGGGCAAGTCACTCTCCTGTGGGCCATCATCAGCCATGGTGTTGCAAACATGATTAATAGAAAGAACTTTAGTTTTGGAAGAGTTAACAGTAATAAGCAATACTTTACCTTAGTTAATCACAGAACTTTAGTTTTGGAAGCGTTAAAAGGAATAAGCAATACTTTACCTTAGTTAACAACAGACTTCTTACTTTCTGCTCAATTGTAGTGCTAGGTGGCTTTTTATATACAGTAATGTTTTCTGGTGTAGCTTGGAAAATGATAACTTGTTTTAAAGAATTTTACTCTCATACACTTGAGGGCGTAAGCGGACATGACTCTTCACAATTTACTATATATTAATTATTTATAGATTTTTATGATTTTCCTCTTGCCTTCTCATCAGTTTTTAATTCAGGTTATTCAGCTTTTGGAATTGAAAAAGGATGGGAGATACAAGAGGGTAAATGAGAGAACGGACAGAGGATGGAGAGTAAGGTTGGTGATGTAATGAAAGGGAAGAGAGAGGGAGAAAGAGAAAGAGAGCGGGAAGTTGGAGGTGATGTGAGGGAGGAAGAAATTATGACATTAGTGTTTTGTTTGTCTTTTCTAGTTTTGTTTTTAGGCATTCTAATCGTAAATCTGCTAAGGCTGTTATTTTTTGCTTTGATGAATCATCTTATATGTGTGAGTCTTTGCACATTGACAACAAGTGAGATCAAACTGTTCAGATAAAAAAACGAAAAACAAAGCAAAACAAAAAAAACACTGCAGATGATAAATAACATTTTCGCTTACCCAGCACTTTTCGTAATAAACGTGCATATTTACAGGACATAATTTATATTGCAATCTTTAAAAAATTAAACGCAACAGTAATCACCCTATTCTGTCTTCTTGAACCCTGTTCCTTTTATTATTCTTTTCCACACTTCTCATCACTAAAATCTTATCATTCTCTTTCACTCCCTGTAACCCCACCTCATTGCGTCTTAGTGGCTTTATCATCTTGCATAGTGTGAAGCGATTAAATTTTAATTCCCAGCTTATTTTCTCTGTGCCAGATTTTCGGAATTAAAATTTGCTTGCGGCGAACCAAATTTTATGTGATAAAAAATATATTTAAAATAAAAAAAAAGACAGCGGTTTAAAGGGAGATAACCGCAGATTCGAAGTCAGAGACTTATTATTGATAACTCTATCGTCCAATTTGCGGAACCTATTTACTATAGTTTTAATACTTGATATAATGCAAAAATATCATAATGGTAAAACCGGTGAATAATTCTTTATGTCTTTATACTGGGACTCATGCCTGCAATTACAAGTAATCCATAATAATATTTGAAATTTTGAATCATATTTATTTTTGGCATATCAATTTTTCCAAATTGTTTTTAAATGTTTGATTTTCTTTCATTGATTCCGCCTCACCTGCTATCCTCTTTCGTCACACCCATGGGGCGGGACGCACCGCTGGGGAATATACTCAGAAAAAAAATTTTAATGACCAGTACTTGGCAACTGATCAATACTGTAACCAAACCATGGTTGTTCAATGGAGGAAGGTACTGTCTGGCAAAATCGCTCAACCTAGAACCAGCATAGTAACTTTCCAGCATCACTTTGCAGATCATGAACTTATGTCTAGCGTAATGGAAGTTTCTTCTCTGTGGAAGAGTCTCACGAGAGGATGTTTGTTCTGGTCGCTTACAATGTTAACCTCTTCAAGTCTAGGGTTAAACGCTATCTCCCCAACAAAACCTCTTCAAATTTCACACCTTATCTCTTTTTCTTACGCTCATACAACATAATAGTTTAGCAACCCACTATTTTGAGCGGCTCTTGGGCTTTACTCTGCGTAAACATTAATAAAATAAATATTCGATTTACATAACTCGGAGTGATGTCCTCATCTTTATTGCCATTTGCATGGCGTTTCGGCTGTATGCAATCGCCAATGGTGTCTTCATCTAGCTGTTGTCCTTACCATTTTGTTTTCAGATACCATCGGTTACCAGTATGGCTCGGACTGGTGCACCCCGTTCGTTTTCTGTTGAAACGGTGGTTTAAGACTGGTCAATCTGTAATTGAAACAAAGATAGATTTTTGTTCTCATTACGTCGATATGATGCTTTTCCGGATAGAAAATCGATACAGATATGGGTTGAAAATTTCAAGGCCTGGTTTCGCGCTTAAAAGAAATCTATCGGGAAGTCTTTGAAGCGGGTCATGGAAAAAAGATAACTATTTACACCATTTAGATTGTTCGGACTGCTGTCCTCATCTTTATTGCCATATTCATGACGTTTTGGCCGTTGTATGCTCCGGCCTTCTTTAGTATCTGTCTATATTTCTGAGATGAGGTATTGTAACTATTTCCACTATTTACATTGTTCGGACTGTTGTCCTCATCTTTATTGCCATATTCATGACGTTTTGGTCGTTGTATGCTCCGGCCTTCTTTAGTATCTGTCTATATTTCTGAGATGAGGTATTGTAACTATTTCCATTATTTACATTGTTCAGACAGTTGTCCTTATATTTATTGCCATATTCAAGACGTTTCGGCCTTCTTCAGGTGATATACTTTGGAATTTTGTAGCAATCACTTTATTTCGGCCACTGGAATAGAAAGTTTTAGTTCTATGTGCCATGCTTTTTCTGAATATATCAGTTTCATTTATTTCCCTTTAATAACTTAACTCTCCAAGTTTTATTTCACCTTGGCTCTGGCCATAGTGTGTATACACACACACACACACACATACACATACACATATCTGTTAGAATAAATACATTGAGCTCTCTTTGTGGATCAGTTGTAATATTTTATATTATTAGGATTCACTTGGATTATATATATTGTTCGGACTATTGTCCTCATCTTTATTGTCATATTTGCGATCTTTCGGCCGCTGTACGCTCCGGCCTTCTTCAGGATCTGTCTATATTCCTGAGAATATGATAATCAAGATGAGGACAACATTCCGAACAATATAAATATTGGAAATATTTACAATACCTCATTTCAGGAATATAGAGAGATCCTGAAGAAGGCCGGATCTTACAACGGCCGAAACATCGCAAATATGACAATAAAGATGAGGACAACAGTCCGAACTATGTAAATAGTGTAAATAGTTACAATATCACATTTCAGAAATATAGACACATCCTGAAGATGGTCGGAACGTACAATGGCCGAAACGTTGTGAATATGAAAATAAAGAGGAAGACAACATTCCGAACAAGGTAAATAGTTACAATACCTCATCTCAGAAATATAGATGTTAAATATTTAAGTTGGTCGTAAGTGTAGTCTGTCTTAATGGCGAACATCATTTCTCGAAGATTACTTCTTTCGGTAACAGAACACCTGAACTACGTGAATAATTATGCGTGTAGCACTTCAAGTCGCATTAAGAGATACTGCGTTAATTAATGTTTTCAAATCATTAAATGCTAGTTTCCCTTCAGCTCATTCACTCACTAGGTTGCAACTGGAATTGCTAAATCCGTGGTGTAAATGAAAAGAAGCGTATAAGGCGAGACGGTAGCTACAGGCGGTGGTAACATTAGCGGGAACTGCTCCGGGGCTCACTATTAAACTAAGTGCAGGATTGTACTGACACTGTCTACATCCAAACTTCTGACGGTCTCTCTCCCACACTACGAGATTTACTTACATTCATTGGTATCGTCGGCCACGAGTTCTCTTCCTTCAGCGTTAATCGAAATACTTCCGATCCCTTGGTGTAGCCATGGGCGCCTTCAACACCTATTCGGACATTGCTTTAAACGGGGAAATTTCATTGTGCTTCGGTTGATTCTAATCGTAATTTATGAGATGTCGCTTAGTCGTGTTTAAGTACAAATACGAAGCCTGTCCGAAAAGGTATCCATTTAACATATTCCTGAACACGCCACTGCTGCGTTGGTGACAAGAAGACGTCGCTCGTTCAAAGAGAAACTTCAAAACAGAGATCCCTTGTTAAATTTTTGTTATTCGATTAAACGTAATCTATGCTGAAAACATTGTTCCTAGTATTTCTCAAACTTTTTAAGCAACGGCACACCTAGGAGCCAATGAAAATATCACAATACATTTAGGTAAAGTTTTAAAAGGTATACATTAAAGTGTTATGAAATAAAACCATTATTACTTCCACACGCACGGACACATATATATGTATGGTAATTTTCTAAGTGTAGCTTACATGTGTCACAAGGTCAGAAGTATGGGGTACCCAGTGAGGATCGAACTCACTATTCAGTCGTAATTGATCTAGTGATAAATTATCTAATTGATAAAGACTATTGGTGGGGCCACATTATTGTTTTGTTGTTGTTGTTGTTATTATTATTATTATTATTATTATTATTATTATTATTATTATTATTATTATTATCGCTATTTCTTTAGATTTCTGCTGCATAAACATTTCCTTACGCCTCCCAACTAGAGATATAAGGTCAGAAATGACATTATGATATTTTACACAGATTAGAAAAAAAAAGAAAAAAAGAAAAAAAAGAAAGCAAGATCATACACATTTAAAATAGATAAAGTCCTTCGTAAGGCGTGGGCTTTACTTGTAGGTACAACGTTTTGCATTTCTTGAGAACAGTGTTTCTCAACCTTTTTAAACAACGGCACACCGAGGTGCAAATGAAAATATCACGGTACACTTAGCAAACATTTTTTAAAGATTATACATTTAAATGCTATGAAATGAAACCATAGATTCAAAAAATACACACAAATCACTTTATTTCAATATTTCTACTCAACTACTTGTGCAGCTTACTTAGTGTGAAACGGTGTGTTTTAGCGATTTCTTCAATGCTTGTCCGAATGTGCGATAAACATACACTCATTTCTTCTTCAGTTGAGCGTACTCTTTTTCGCTTCATAGTTTTTATGTTATTTAGAAAGTATTTATTTAAGAAGTAGAAAATTGCAATAAAACTGATAAAGCCTTTTTAGATAATGGGAGATTTTCCTTTTCTATTGAAATCCAAAATGTATTAATGGGTACCATCAAATGTTTTATTTTGAGCCCTCGATCATTAGAAATGGAGGCCAATTCTTCTTTAGTATCTGTCTATATTTCTGAGATGAGGTATTATGAACACTATTAACATTATTCGGACTATTGTCCTCATCTATATCAACATTTCGGCCGTTGTACGCTCCGGCCTTCTTCAGGTGGTTGGAACATCGAACTGAACCCTTTATTTTGCTCATTGGGTTAGACTGTCTAATGGATGTCAGTTATCAGTTATCTCCTGTTAATTCCCCTCTCCAAGTTCTTAACCGCCTTAACCTGGTATTGAACTCACACTCTGGGTCCTGTCACTAGGGCTAACTAACGCCATGTGTCTTTGAGAACATTTGTCTATGGTTTTCTGGGTATTATAAACCTAATGTCTTCAGCAACCATTTTATTTTATCAGTGCTCATATTGTAATTTTTGCTGTTTCTTATTTTTTTGATAATCAATTTTATTGTATATTTCATAGTCTTTTTGAAAGCTAGGGAATCGTCGTTTCTTTCCTGAGGTGAGCTTCATATGTTGAGTATAAACACCAGAAGTATCTACTGGTGTACACTAATATATCATTCTCTAATATTCAAAAGTCATGAACTAGAACCAACATAAATCAAATAGATAAATGCAAAGTACTCAATTAAGTAAAACTTGAACAAGGCAACTGACCATTTATAAAAGAAACAAAACAAATCTATCAAAAGTCTAAAACCACTAACCATTCAAAAAAAAATAGTGAAAAAAATGTGACCAACCAGGGCATTATAAGCAGAGATAAGAAAGGACTCCAATCACTTGTTGTAACATAAATGACAACAGCAGCTAGGAAGTTTTTCTCCCGAGTCGATCCTCCAGATCTACAAATCCACAATTCGCCCTTGCATGGAGTATTGCTGCCATATATTGTCTGGTGCCCCTTCTGTCTGCCTCGGGGTTCTTGATAGGCTCCAGAGGCGGATATGCAATATGGTTGGCCCTGCCCTGGCGTCTCGTCTACAGTCACTTTCTCACAGACGTGCCGTCGCCTCCCTCTGTCTGTTCTACAAATACTTTCATGGAAATTTCTCCGAGGAGCTGCATTCGCTGGTTCCCAGACGTCATGAGTTCCAGCGCCCTACGAGGCTGGTATCCCGCTCTCACCCCCTCACTGTCGAAACTCCTAAATGTAGCCGTCTCTTCTACTCAGCTTCATGTCTCGCACCTCTCGCCTGTGGAACTCCCTTCCCTTCTCCTGTTTCCCTGCGAGATATAATCTCCAGCTATTCAAGTGTAATGTCAATCGACATCTCCAGTTGCCTTGATCTATCCATTACACTCATCCTTTCTTCTATCACTCCTATCTGATCTTGCTATTTCCTGTAACCCTTTCCATCCTAGTGGCTTCCCGCCTTGCTTGGGGTGAAACACTTAAAAGAAGAAAAAGAAAAGAAAGAAGATACGTGTAGCTTATTCCCGCTTACATAAAATGCGAAAGACACCTTAATATAACACGCAAGCCATTCAAATGAGAGCAACAAGCTTAGAACTTTCTGACAAAATAGAGGCAAAATAGAAGTCCATAAATCGTGACCAAAACAATATAGAACATTCAAATAATGTAAACGTGTCTTCGTTAACCGAAGCACATGAACCAATTCCAACAATAACTGGGCGGGAAAGAATACACCCGTTGAATGACAAACCTAATTTGAAAAGAATGACAAAAAGAAATAAGTTAAGAGAAGAGGAAGACGAATGAAAGGGAGAATTGTAAACCATTAAGAAAGGAAATACAAATAAAATCTAGTTAATGTGCTTTTGAAATATCACGGGAAAATTGAAAACCGAATTAACGAAGCCAAACATCCTAGACAGTGTGTCGAAATGTGGAGAAAACCGGAAAATGACGATAACATCATACAATCGAAAGTAACTCAGAAGAAATGTCCTGGTCTCAAAAAACAATTTGGATAACATTTCAACCCAAACTAGACTAAGCTGGAGATATCTGCGGAAATAAAACATAGTCAAGTAAATATCCGATCATTAAAAAGACTGTCCCAAAACGCAAACAGTAACGAACATACTAACGTCAATAAAGCGATAAAAAACTAAAGATTAATAGAGTATAACTTGATACTGAGGTTGAACTGTTGAAAATAACATAACTTCTCAACGAAATTTTTAAAAATGAAAAAAAGAAGACTGATACCAGAAATGCACCCCTTAAAGTTGTGACATCCATTTTTGCATCCCTCAAAGTTGTGACAACCATTTTTGCATCCCTCAAAGTTGTGACAACCATTTTTGCACCCCTCAAAGTTGTGACATCCATTTTTGCATCCCTCAAAGTTGTGACAACCATTTTTGCATCCCTCAAAGTTGTGACATCCATTTTTGCATCCCTCAATGTTGTGACATCCATTTTTGCATCCCTCAATGTTGTGACATCCATTTTTGCATCCCTCAAAGTTGTGATTGTGACATCAATTTTGCATCCATTTTGACATCCATTGTTGCATCCCTCAAAGTTGTGACATCCATTTTTGCATCCCTCAATGTTGTGACATCCATTGTTGCATCCCTCAAATGTGTGACATCCATTTTTGCACCCCTCAAAGTTGTGACATCCATTTTTGCACCCCTCAAAGTTGTGACAACCATTTTTACACCTCTCAAATTTGTGACATCCATTTTGGCGCCCCTCAAAGTTGTGACATCCATTTTTGCATCCCTCAAATTTGTGACATCCATTTTTGCATCCGTCAAAGTTGTGACATCCATTTTTGCACCCCTCAAAGTTGTGACATCCATTTTTGCATCTCTCAAATGTGTGACATATCAAGAGAAATAAAAAGTTAATCCTAATTTAATCCATTTTGCATCCCTCAAAGGTGTGATATATCAATAGAAATAAAATTAGATCCATTTTGGTGAAAGTACTAATGAACATTGAATTAGCTAGCCTATGATCGATTATAAAAGCCAGTTTAGTTGTCGTTCTGCTAAGGAATGTAACGATGTTATATACGAGTGTAACAGCAAAATTGTCCAAATCGTGTAACAGCAAAATTGTCGATTTGTTACATTAAGCTTTGAACCATTGCATCATAGAAATGGTTAAAGATGTCTTACTGGAATTTGTCGAGGTTTATAATAACACTATTGCATTCTACTTTGAGCAATAAGGTGTAATTACTCTCTAAGCTTAACAGAAGTATCGTGATGAAATCGATCCTAAACGAAAATGACATGTTCATCATTAATTAATCATAGCTAAAGATTGGAAGCTCATGAAGTATTGAAATATAGTTCAAATATATATTTAATATTCCAGGATCAGTTTTTTAATTTATTCAAGCTGATCTTTTCCCTCTCTGACCTTTTAACTTTCTTTCCTGGTGTAACAGGTTGCTTTACAGTTTTCACGTACTATTTCATTTGCAAGTCTATTTTCACTGCTCTTTGGACTGTCATAGCTGAAACTTCTCTCTCGCGTGTCAAACCACTTATGAATTCTGTTGGATCTTTTCTAATTGATCTCTTTTGCTCTAAGTTGAAATCATAATCTCTCTTCTTGTTGTAGCTTCCTGATTCAGTCTCCTATCTGCTGTTCTCTCTTTTTTAAAAAAAATATTCACCTTTCTCTTGTTGGTTCTTGAATGGACTTTGAAGATGGAAGCCAGAATATAAATGTTGGTACCATTACTGAAGGCCTGAATAATCTTTTTCCTCTCACCATTGCTCAGTTGAGAAGACAGTGGGTCTGACACAAAAAAAATTTCACCTGCTCTCTTTGTAGCTGAAAAAATCAAACGACAAATGTTGTCATGGATAATCGTCTTACCTGAATACATAGAAAAAAAAAACAAGCTCAATTAGTTTAGTGTTTTTTTTTTTTTTTTAGACATTAAACATTTTGTGGGGTGGATAATTATGCTGTTTCAAATTTGGACAATGTTGCTACTACACCCGGCATGCCATCAAACAAATCCAGGACATGACATACCTCCCAAATAGAAATTTCTAAATCTTCAGAGGACTTCAATAAAGATTTTCTTCTTCTCATCCATTAGAAACTGCCTTCCAAGATCCGAATGAACTGAATGTCTAAAAACATATACTATAACTTTTTCGGTTCACAAAAGCTTACATGTCTGGCGAGGGCCCCAATATGGAACCATTTCAAACGTCATCAGGATTTCGTCAAGGAGGAAATGGGTGCTACAGTCTATTTGATCTGTTCCCAGATTATATCCTGCACGTATACAAGCACAGATGCAAAGAGACGGGCGCTGATAACGTAAGCATTCCGTATTACCTCCTAAACGAATCGACTAATACAAAACAACGTTGTTGCTTTCTCATCCTGATGACATAGCTGTACATAATTGGGAAAGGAATGATCGTAAACAAAAAAACAAAAAAAAAAAAAACAATATCCTCTAACCAAGGTTTCCAAGAAAAAAAAACATTTCTGAAACGGAAGCCAGGATCTGGAATAGGATCTGGAATAGGAATGAAAGCAGTGACGTTATCTTCCCTAAATCTGTTACGAACATTCAGGACGTAGAATAATAAAGAATAAGCGTCGAATAAATCGCTGTGTGAATCAGTTACTACAAATTTAGTATAGGAGATAAGGAAATAGAACACAGAATAGATTGTGCTAGGAATAGTTTTTTCCCAATACCGCAAGTTGCTACAAAGTCAAAATATGAACAAAAGATCGTCGTATGTTCGTTAACAGCCATGTTTCATCAATCTTTGCATATAGATATCCTGCAAGGCGCGGAATTCGTTCAGAAACATCTAAACTGTCAGTAACCTCCTTCTCAGATAAATGGTAGAAAATAAAGTGAAACCTGTAAATCTTAGCAATCTTTATATAAATCTTGTGGAAAAGCAAGACAAAATCACAACCAATTTTTATTCCGATATCCGTAAAAACATACGTCTTATTTGCTTAAATGATTTTTTGTTGTTATTTATGAACCGAACAATTTTGATTAAATCTCAAATCGTGGAACATAATCGATCATAGAAATCACGACATCAGATGTTTGGCACCGCGTAACAGAATGGGGGAACTCCAAATATTTTATTATTAATAAGACATAATTTCCAGTAAAAGGAAGAGCTGAAAATGCAAATTAGGAATTAGAGATACCAAAATCAAGAATGTACGAATAAATAAATTCCTAGGATTTGTCTTAAAAGGTGACAGAAAATATGGCACCGAAATCCGAAGAAGAATTGGAATAGTAAAAGCTAAACAAAAGCTAAGCTAAGAAACAGGAAAATTTAATTGGATACAAAGAAAAGAGTACTGAACTGTTATATAACGCTACCCATGTATGGCACTGGATAATGAACACGGTTGAAGGAGAGACTTGAACCAGCATAAATGTAGTTCTACATTAGGATAATGAGAATACTATGGATTAAACATGTGAAGAACGATGACATTTCGGCCATATAATGAAGAAAGTGGGCTTAGAAAATTTGGCACTCACTGGTAAGTGGAACAGTGGAAAGCACCGAAACATCTACATAATGAGTTTGTATAAATATCTTTAGAGCAGGGATTAGAAAAAAATAGCAAATGTACAAAATTTACTAAGATCTAAAGGACATGAAATTGTGGAATGCCATGATCGCCCACATCCCGAAGAAGAATGAACAGGAACAATGCATATATATATATATATATATATATATATATATATATATATATATATATATATATTCGAACTCGGCTCTGCGATTCCTCAATCCAAGCCGCTATCCATTACTCTACCGTGCCTCCCTAAGCACGAAAGTGAATGTAATGGATTCGACTGGAATTCGAACTCATCCATTACATTCACTTACGTGCTAATACCCCTGGGAAAGGTATAAATCATCTTCTTCTCTCTCCAGCTATGGGTAAAATAGCAGGACAGACTGGGTTCTATAGCCTTGGATAGCAACTGGTCTAGGAGAAGGACTACTCTGGATTCAAAACCTGCGGAGGGTCGTTTGGGGACCTTGTGGCACGTCTCTGTATTCGGCCCTTCAAAAAGTGTAGATGATCCTGCACGAATCTCTTATGCTGTTGTCGGGCTCTCGGTTTCCTGGGAACTGATCTGCTTGACGAATTCGACGAGAGAGTCGACTATATATATATATATATATATATATACAGTGTAACCCGGATATAAGAGACCCGGATATAAGAGAAACCTGGATATAAGAGAGATTATTCTGGTCCCAAATTAGAGCCCATACTTATCTAAACAAAATAGACCAAACCCGGATATAAGAGAAACCCGGATATAAGAGAAACCCGGATATAAGAGAAACCCGGATATAAGAGAAACCCGGATATAAGAGACTTCTTCCCCGGTCCCGACAACTCTCTTATATCCGGGTTACACTGTATATATATATATATATATATATATATATATATATATAACATACACTGACATTACTCCTAAATTTTCTATCTATCTATCTATCGATCTATCTATCTATCTATCTATCTATCTATCTATGTATCTATCTATCTATCTATCTACCTCGCTATTTAGCTGTAGAGCGTTACTTAATTCTTTCAGGATATTAGCATGAATTTACTAAAGGACGAATAAATAATGACAGATTTAACGTGTATGGACGGCCGTATTTACAAAAATCAGCATGTCTATACACACACAAAAAAAATATTTTTAAAATACTGACCGTCGATTATTTATAGTAAACTTTTCAATTTACAAAGACTAAATATATGTTTTACTTACTAACAATATCATCTAACGGCACACATTAATACGGAATGTTAAAAAAAATTTAAAACTTTATAAATTATTCTAATTAATATTTAAATAAATAAAAACAATTCTTGTAAAAAATCATTATTCATCGAACTTTTCTTAAGACAATATTGTCCATAATATATCTCATTCATAAAAGCAATTAAAATCTTTTCTAATTAAATAATGTCTTAGTTTTATTGCATTTTCTATTTTACAATTTAGAGCAGATTTTCTGTAACTTGTGTTCCTGTTATTGAAAAAGGCCTGATGATTTAAATTCTCCAACAATTTCTGCTTGTAACTCATATCAACATTAAACCTTACAAAAAAGCATTTGTAAATTAAATAAATAGGGGTAACAGATGTAACAATAAATATTTATGCTAAAATTTTCTAAGGAAGAGACATTTCTAAAATAATTTCATTCACTTGGGAATTTATCCTGAAAGTTTCATAAAATTTGACAAAACTTTATTTGAGACAGAAATTTACCATAGATAATCTTGAGAACTTTTTGGCATACCTCCTTAAGTAATACGCTGTTAGCATCGATGACTGCTTTAATTCGAGATCTGAAACGTTGACCTGCCGTCTTCATATGATCTTTATCTGTTTTGAACATTATGCTAGTTATGGCGGCCATCTGAGATTTTATTGTGTTTTGGGGGCTTTTTATTAGCTTTCTTCTGGGCTCTGACCAATACGAGGAGCGTGGAATCACCTCATAATTACTGTTGTTATCAGGTCCTCCCAGATCCGGGGTTGTAGCACCTGTTAGGGTTCCAGCTATAGGAAAATAGTGAACCTCCAAACAAAAAAAAAAGTACTATGAAAGAAAAAAAAAATTTTATCATAAAAAATAACAGAAATACATTTTTATGCAAAATAATTACTAAAAAAACACATATTTATAATGGAATGAGCTGCAATATATTTGTAGCAAAAATGATAAGTAATACAATTAAATAGAGAAAACATTAACAGAACATGAATGAAGAAGACGGTAGATAACGACTGACATTGTATTTAAATTTTTGCAGATCAAAATTTCCTGGGAACGAAGACGACTGAAATGACTTCCATAAACGAGAAGAACGAAACAGACGAAATCCTCTGTCGCGATGAAAACATATTTTCAAAAATATATACATATATATATATATATATATATATATATATATATATATATATATATATATATATATATATATATATTGCCAGCTCAAATGTATAAAGATAGTGAAACGCGGGAAATAAAATACTCGTCTCAAGTAATCTGTAACAACATTCGAATATGGCGACATTTACTCTCCAAGATATTCCCATTGACAATTTGTCCAGTGAATCGACTTGATGCACTTTACGATTTGTCGGTCCGTGCCCGATAACTGAGTTCCCATCGGCGGAGACGATATGTCTGTGCCTGGCTGGGGCGCGTGCTGACCGTCACATAAATCTTCTTTGACCTCTCCCCAAGTGTCCGGAACGCGAATACAGAGTGCAGTCCATCAAGCTCTCCGAGATGTCTTTTCCTTGCTCAGGGACAAGCAAACGCAGGACTATATAAAGTGATCGGAAGATGGCGACCGCTTTATAGCATGAGAACAAAAGCGAAGAGATCTGCGATTCACTTCTCTGATGTCCACTAGAATTGTCTAGATCTGTTAACGTTTGCGTGCAGTGTAATGTTAATTTAAAAGGTAATTTATTAGCGCTTTTATTGATATGGGAAAAGGCGCGCTTGTCTGTATTATATATATATATATATATATATATATATATATATATATATATATGCTCAAAAAACACTCACACACGTAGGAAGGGATGGTAAAATAACCAGGCAGGAAAGCTGAATTTCAGCGACATATATAGACGGAGAAAAAGAGAGAGGAACAGAACGAGAACAAGAGAGAGGGGGAGAGAGAGTGAGAGGGAGAGAGAGGAAAAGAAAGAGAGAGTGTTATTTATTTCGGGAGAAGGAAAAAAGTTCGAGATAAATAGAGCTGAAAAGAGAAAAAGAAATCGAACACCCTCATACTCAGACGTGTAATGACAGACAAATAAACCATACAGATGGATAGATAGATAATTTGGAGAGAGAGAGAGAGAACGTGTGATTGTGAGAGAGGGAGAGATAATGGGAAGCGGGATAGAAATGATAAAGTACACGTCGAGAAAGTTATAGACAAAAAGACAAGCAGAAATAAAACGAAGATACGCTGAAATCTATCTATCTCGTGTCTCTTCATATCTATCTATCTATCTATCTATCTATCTATCTATCTATCTCGTGTGTCTCTTCATATCTATCTATCTATCTATCTATCTATCTCTCTTCATATCTATCTATCTATCTATCTATCTATCTATCTATCTATCTATCTATCTATCTCCTCTTCATCTCTTCATATCTATCTATCTATCTATCTCGTGCATCTCTTCATCTATCTATCATCTATCTATCTATCTATCTATCTATCTATCTATCTATCTATCTATCGTGTATCTTCATATGAAATTCATTGAAAATATCTAGGGATATTTATCTAAATACTAAATTTTGTTGATATTTCATTCTATCAATCCATCTATTATCAAGATCGTTCCTTAATCTTTGTCCAGTTCTATCTATTTCCTTTGTTCCATTTCATCTATTATTTAAAAAAAAACTATTATGTAAATTTTTGTATCTTTGTATAATATTTATGCATTATCCTATCTATCTAATCTTTATTCGGTATCTATTTAATTATCTAATCATCTCATTATCCTTTTTAAGTAATATCCACATATTTATGTCTTTGTTGTTTCCGTATCCTTATATTATATCTATCTATCTCTATATTATATATATATATATATATATATATATATATATATATATATATATATATGAATCTGTCTATCTATAAATATAAAATATATATGTATAATTATTTATATATTATATACTCGGTATTCTCATCATCATCTATCATTACTAATCACTAATAACAATTTACAATAAATATTAACCACTTATATTATTCATCCATCCATCTATCCCATTATCACGTTACTATCACATCCATCATCTACCATTATCCATATAATCCTGCCATAATTATTATCCATAATCTATCCCTCCCGGCATAGTTAATACCATCCATCCATAAAAATATCCAATAAGGATTACAAACTGAATCCATTTCTACCACTATCCATCATAAACAGTCATAAAAAAAAAACATCCATCCAAATCCATCCAGCTTTAATTTAAAATTAAAAATTATATCAATCTATTCAACTACCATACTTTTACAAAAATTCCATCTATTATCAGGATTTATATCAAAATAAATTAATACATATAACAAAATAAAATAAAACACCAACAACCACTTTTTAGTTCAATCTACCATCCACTATAACTACATTTATGATTTTATCATCCATCCATCCATCCATCTACCACATCTAATCATTTCTACCAATATCTATCAAGCTAATTATATTATCATTGTCATCCATCCAATCCCATCCCATCTATTATCTATCACATCATATCTATATAGACCCGCTATAATTATTATCCATATCCATCCCTCTCACCCATCCATATTAAATATTAAACATCACCATATAAAATAACCAATAAGGATTACAAATTTCTACCTATTGCATATCTCACAATCATCAAAAACAAACAAATAACCATCTTTAAATATAACAAAAAAACCCTATTTTTATACAAAAATTTAAAATAAATATAAATAATAATTTCTATCATAATTTTACACAAATCCCACCACATCTATATACACATACATGCGAAGAAATTCATTCACTGGAAAAATAAAAAATATCTATCTATCTATGACATTATTCATCCATCCATCCATTCACGAGAAATCTTCTATCCATCCATCCCAATCTTTGAATTTCAACATACAAATCTATCTATGTATAGTGTGTCTCTTCAATCCCGACGGACGATAAAGAATGTATATGTGTCTATCATACATCGATGTTTGCGTTAGTACGATGATCAAATCCATCTATCGACGTTTCCCATATCCACATCCATCTATCATCGTATCTATCTCCTGTGTCTATCACATCTAATCTACATAAACATCCATAATTTAAAAAATTAATCATCTATCTTTGTCTGACGATCATCTAAAGCGTGAAACCCAGGGTCACAAACTCATCATCTATCCATCCAAATATATATATATATATATATATATATATATATATATATATATATATATATACATCGCTAAATAAGGATGTTCTCATGTTTCAAAACAAGTATTAACAAGATCAATATAACTTTTATTTGAATTAAATTGAATTAATCTTTATTTAAAAAAAAACTATTATGTAAATTTTTGTAACTGGCAGTTTAGTTTTAATCCTATTCTTAAATTTAATTGCTATTCGGATGTTTAGTCGCACTGATATTTATGTGATTTGTTGTTTCCGAAACTTATATTATGTCTGAATCTATATATATATATATATATATATATATATATATATATATATATATATATATATATATATATATCTATGAAAAGCATGTTTAGTTGAATAATCTATATATGTTATAATTATTTTTTATTTAATACTCTCAAATTCACTGATCATTTAATCATCTAGTTCAATTTACAAAACTGATTAAGAAATCTATCTATTTGGTTATTTCTTTTACCGTATCTCCCAATTGCTATAATCTAAAATCGTCTAACATAATCTTCCCGGGTGAATATTTGTTCAAAAGACTTAAAAATTACAAACTGAAATTTTACCACTCACGCTTCAGTCATACAAAAAATGTTCCATTTAATTCTTGAACTCCACTTTACTGTTGATTTATATAATGCAAATTAAATTTTGTATGAATAATTGCATTAATGCAATCATTTGCACTTTTTTGTGTCACATGCATTCTTGTGAACTTTTAGAAGCAATCATTTCTAATATAACAGTGCAGTTATAGACATTGTATATAATATATCTATTTTTTAAATATCCATATTTAATAATTATAAAATTTAAACTAGGGAAAATATCTGTTTTTTATATGCATTATAAAATCCGGAACAAGCCCATTTTACCTGTTAATACTGCACAACATTTTGGCCAAACAAAAAACCAGCTTTTACTGCAAAAGCAACCTTTTACAATTTAAAATCGGCTTAAATAATAATTTTAACTAATAATTTTAACGAGCCTTTAACGTAATCAAATGCAAAGAAACCCTTCAGCCCTTAAAAATAAGGATATTCAAACTGGGGTTCTTCATGAGTTTCAAAAATCCTCGCCAACTTTCATTGTATTTCAAAGCAAACACTTTATTCAATTGACACGACAAAGAATTATATGTGTTTCTCCTTTCCCTTTCAATGACAAAAGGGAAAACCCCAACTTCTTATCTTTTTTATTCGTCATTATTATAAACCCTTTTCCTTTTTTGTTGACGACACTATCGTGAAACACGTCACAAAACACATCTATTGATAAAAAAATATATATATAATATAAATATATATATATATATATATACATAGCTACATAAAAAAATTTTTAAAAAAGGGAAAACTTAAATATAATTATTTGAATTAAAGAATTAAAGTATTAAAATGGTAAATAAACAAAGGACAAATTGGAAAGAAATGTGAACAGCTAGGAAGAACAGCGAAAAAAACAAACATATAATATATATAATATAATATATAAATATATATATATAAAAAACTTCATTTTGTCATGTTTAGTTGAATAAAGACATGTAATAACTTTTTTTATTTTTACTCTCAAATTCACTGATCATTTCTTGAAACAAAATGATTAATAAAGGCGAAGAAATTCATTCTTTAAAAAAAGAAATTGTTTTCTATATCTCAATATAATATAATCTTTACATTATTCATGCAAAGACAAAAAAGTAAATCACGCTTCTCATAATAATCAAAAGAATTTTGAACTCCAAACTATTTATATAATGCAAATTAAATTTTTATGACACCAAGCAATCAGTTTAAATGTCATGCATTCTTCGATGTTTGCAATTAGTAATATAACAGTGCAGTCCGAGAACGACGAGTTATTATATATCTGGGCGATTTTTAAAAATTCCAAATTTAATAGGTATAAAAGCCTACATAAAACATCTGTTTTATATGCATTATCATCCGAACAAGCCCATCTTACGTGTAATACTGTCAACACTAGAAATTGAAACCCAGGTTACGCAAGCAAACAATCTAGAAAGACAGGTAACACAAAGATTTAACGAAAAATATACAAAGAAACCCTTCAAAATATCTGTTATAAGGGTTCTTCATGTTTTAATCATCCTCGCCACCTTTCATTTTAAACAGGAAAATTTTTTTCAATTGACAGGCGTTAGATTGTTCTCCTTTCCCTTTCAATGCTTAGGGGAGATAACTCTTACCACGCTTATTCGTCATTGTATCGCTTTTTCCTTTTTGTTAACACTATCAGACACACGGATTGAACGCACGATTGATAAAAAAAACGTAAGAAAGAAACGGCAGAGAAGAAAGAAATAGTAAAAAAATAAATATAAATATAAATATGTACAAAGAAAGCCTGAATGAAAAAAAAGACTAAACAATGACAAAAAGAAAGAAAGGAAAGCTAGAAAAAAAAAAAAGAAAGAAAAAAGAAAAGAAAGAAAGAAAGAAAGAAAGAAAGAATGTTGTCGATGATGAAATATTAAGAGCTAAAATGGGATAATTTTACAAGAAAGAATGAAACAAATGGTTGACTAGTAATTAAAAAAAAGAGAAACAGATGGCTGGAGAGGAAGAAAGCAAGCAAGAAAGAAATAATGAAAGAAAGAAAAATAAAGAACGAAGGAAATTTGACAATGAGCAAGTTTAAATGTGAAGTGTCATAGGACAGAATAAGAGCTAGAAAAAAAGAAATAGGAACTTCTCGGAAGCCTAGAAAAGAAAAGAAAGAAAAAAGAAAGGGAAAAAAACAGGAGACTAGAAAGAAAGAAAAGAAAGAAAAAGAAATAAAAGAAAGAAAGAAAAGAAGGAAAACAGGAAAAGACTAGAAAGAAAAGAAAAAAAAGAAAAGAAAAAAGAAAAGAAAGAAAGACAAGAAAGAAGAAAGAAAAGAAAAGAAAGAAAGAAAGAAAGAAAGAAAGAAAGAAAGAAAGAAAGAAAGAAAATATCTGTTAATAAGGAAATAGTAGAAGCCGAAACAGGAAAATCTTTAAAGAGAAAGAACAAAAAGGGCGAAACAGGAGAAAAGAAAGAAAGAAAGAAAGAAAGAAGAAAGGAAGGAACAGAAGACTAGAAAGAAAGACAGAAAGAAAGAAAGACAGAAAGAAAGAAAGAAAGAAAGAAAAGAAAGAAGAAAAAACTAGAAGAAAGAAAAAGAAAGAAAGAAAGAAAGAAAGAAGAAAAAGAAAGAAAGAAAGATGTAAAAAGAAAATATCTGTTAATAAAAAAATAGTAAACCGAAACAGGAAAATTTTTAAAAAAAACAAAAAAAGAAAGAAACAGGAGAAAAAAAAGAAAGAAAGAAAGAAAGGAATCTGTCAATAGTACAATCTAAAAAGGGGAAAATTGTCACGAGAAAGAAAGCATTAGGCGACTAGAAAGAATAAAAAGCAAGAAATGGGTTACCAGACAGAATGAAAAAAGAGATATGTCAAGAGCGAGAGAGAAAAAGAGAAACAATTAGCTAGAAACAAATGAAAAACTAGAAAGAAAGAGAGAAAGAATGAAATCGTTCAATGAAGAAATGGTATAAGTTGAACTAGAAAAATATCACAATAAAGAAAGAAAACATAGCAATGCAATAAGACAAGTTGAAATGAGAAAATGTCACAGAAAGAAAGAAAGAAAAAAAGAAAGGAAGGAAGGAACAGTAGACAAGAAAGAAAGAAAGAAAGAACGAAAGAAAGAAAGCTGGAAATGTATATATCTCTTAATGAGGAAAATGTACAAGCTGAAATTGGAAAATGTCAGAAGAATGAAAGAATCGAATGAAAGAAAGAAATGAGTGACTAGAAAAAAAGAATGAAACCAAAGGCTAGGGAGAATGAATGGACGAACGAAAGAAAGAAAAAAAAGAAAGAAATCTGTCAAGGAATAAATAATAGAAACTGAAATGGTAAAAATGTAAGAAAGAAAGAAAGAAAAGAAAAGAAAAAAAGAAAAGAAAGAAAAGAAAGAAAGAAAGAAAGAACGAAAAGAAATAAAAAAAAGAAAAGAAAAGGAAGGAAGGAACAGAAGACTAGAAAAGAAAAGAAAGAAAAGAAAAAAAGAAAAGAAAAAAAGAAAGAAAGAAAATGACTAGAGAAAGAAAGAAAGAAAAGAAAGAAAGAAAAGAAAAGAAAGAAAGAACGAAAGAAATAAAGAAAAAGAAAGGAAGGAAGGAAGAGAAGACTAGAAAGAAAGAAAGAAAGAAAGAAAGAAAAGAAAGAAATGAACAGAAGACTAGAAAGAAAGAAAGAAAGAAAGAAAGAAAGAAAGAAAGAAAGAATGATCTATCAATGAAAACAGCTGCCATGGAAAAATGTCACAAAAAATAATAAAATAAATGGTCATCTAGAAAAAAAAAAGAAAGAAAAAAGATAGAAAGCTGACATGGGAAATGTCAGAAGAATGAAAGAAACGAAAAAAAAACGTGTGTGTGTTATTAAAAGTGTGTATGAGAGAGTAGAGAGAAGAGTATCAATAAGAAATGGAAATTGTAAGGAATAAAATTGGTGAATTATACAAAGAAAAATCAAAGAGCATTTTAAATTAAAAATCCGAATAGATATTTTTAAAAAAATCATATAATGACGAGGGTGAAATCAAAGAGCATTTTAAATTAAAAATCCGAATAGATATTTTTAAAAAAATCATATAATGACGAGGGTGAAATTCAGGATAAAATAAAAAGAGAAATATGTAAAATTAATAAAATCAAACACGGGACGGAAATAAAGAGAGGTTGATAAGAAACTAAAAATTTATGATAAACATAAAACCTCGTTTTCTGACATTGATAAAATCGAAAATAAAATCCGTCCTGGCTAGGACAATAAGCTACATCCGCGTCCTGAGTAAGACGATAAATAACAACGCCTCTGATCAGAATTTTTTCAATTGCTGGTATTCCCAGATCCACCCTGGGGTCCCAGCTATGGTCAAATAGTTAACCTAAATATGGGATACCAGCAATAAATTTCTGAAGGAAAAAATATTACCCTGAATACATTGAAAAAGCATATTACCAGCAATATATTTCTTTTGAAAAAAATATTTCCAGAAATAAATTTTTGAAAGAAAAATATTACAAGCAATACATTTTTGGAAAAAAAATATTGCCAGCAATAGGAATGTTGTCGGCATTAAACAACACATTGATATTGATATGCCGTAAAACAAAACAAACCAACGAAAATAAAATACCTTTAAGCAATACTAAATCTGAATAGAACTGGTGAGTATTAACTGATAAGAAATAACCTCTACGCATGGAAAGAAGAAGAGAACAATTCCACACAGTAAAGTGTTACGTTCAAAATATGATGACAGACATCTGAAGAAGACCGGAGAGCACAACTGTTGAAACATTGAAAGTATAACGACCAAGATGAGGCTAGTCGTTCAAACACTGTTCCTCTCGAGGTCCTCCACAAAATCCAGAGACGGATATGCTATGTGATGGGTCCTGATCTGGCACCTCGTCGACAATCACTTTCACATAAATGTGCCATGACTTCCCTCTATCTTTTCTACAAGTATTTTCACCGCAGCTGCTCCGAAGAGCTACTCTCGCTGGTTCTCAGACTGCATGAATTTAAGCGTGCTACTAGGTTGGCATCGTAATCTCAGCCTTTCACTGTCGAAACAGTTAAATGTAATCGCTTGTTCTACTCCAACAACTTCTTATCTCGCACTTCCCGACTCCTTTCCTCTTACTTGCTTCCCTGATAGCCATAATCTTCATATATTCAAATGTAATGTCAATTGACATCTCCTGATGCCTTGATCTTGTTCCCTGTCCTTCTCTTTATCCTCTCCTAAAACACGCCTCTTGTTTTCACTCTCTGTAATCTCTTGCGTGCTAGTAGCAGTAGCAGCCCCGCTTTGCTTGGGGTGAAATGCTTAAAAAAAAAAAAATAAACAAAACAAAACAAAAAAATAGTATATAATAATAATGATTTATGTCAAGTTTTCTGACAAAGATTAAAAAACAGAATTAAACAAACTAGAAAATTTTAGCTAAGTTAAAAAAACAAATGATGTATACAATGATTGGCCAATTTATATGAAACGAAGTGTGTATACCAGCAACATGATAACACAAGACTTGAATCTTCCTTATCTCTAGTTATGTATGAGATGCGGTATTATGTTTATTTGCATTATTTACATTACTCGGACTGTTATCCTCCTCTTCATTGCCATATTAAAAACGTTTCGGCCGTTTTACGCTCCGGCCTTCTTCAGGTGATTGGAATTTCGAACCGAACCCTTTATTTGGTCCACCCGGTTGGATTGTTCTAGTTCCACGTGCCACGTCTCTCCGGTATGTCTCAGTTATTTCTCTTTAAGTCACCTCTCCAACTTTTGGTTCACCACTGCTGTGAGAGATGAGTTAAAGGGAAATAACTGAGATATCCGGAAGAGGCATGGCACCTGCAACTAGAACAATCTACCCTCGCCCCCGGTGAACAAAATAAAGGGTTCGGGTCGAAACTGAATCTTCATTGGTTAATATTAAATGTTATTCAAATCCTGTCTTTGTCCGTTATTCTCGACTAGTCTGTGGTATGCGGCCCCATAGAGCCGTCAACTAAAAAAAAAAACGTCGTCATTCCTATATACTCTGATTGCGATGGTGTGAAACTACTCAACTCTTTCTCTTGAATATGGCTTTCGGGAGTTCGCTTCAACTTAATTCCCTACTGCGACTGGCTTGTTTGGTCCGGTGTGGAATTTATGTGTGATGTCTTTTCCAGCATCACACGACACACAATCGTAATGTACCTTTGAAAATAGCAACTGTAATTTTTTTTTTTTGATTGATCTACAAATATGCAATTTTGGATTGGGGTTGGTTGAGAGTGCAAGTTAAACGCTTCTTCTATGATCTCAGGTCGGCGATTAAGATGAACGACTTGAACAACAATCGGGAAGTCTGTTAGGAATTACGTCAATGAAAAAAAAAACAGAGAAATTCACGAATTCTTTGCGTGAGAATCGAGAGAAAGCAAAGAAAGCTGCCCATTTAAAATCGAAAAGCAGACCCCACCAATTGTGTGATGCTTCCTCTCTCCAAGAAACTTACCTTTTGCTTTGTTTTTTTTTTGATGACCTGTGCTTTTGACACAGACAACTAAACTATCCAAGCACTTAGATTAAATGAGCTCCTAAGCGAAACGAGTCCACAAAAATAGATTCTGTCTTGTCGGACTTAAATCACTCACATTTATCATTGTTAGAGTTTTTTTTCTTTTTTAAAATGGTTTTCATACACATTCTTAGCTTCTTATCACCTTCTCTTTAATATTAGTCTCGTGTTTGATTTCATTAATTTTACATATTTCTCATTCTTATTTTACCATTAATTCTACTCGCGTCATTATAGGATTTAAAAAAATATATATTTATTCGGCTTTAATAAACGTACTTTATTCTTTCTTTCTATATTTTAATTTATCAGATAGATTTCTTATAATTTCTGTGTTTTCACTGTTATCTTGTCCCTCTCTCTCACCTTTCTTTCTTTCTTTCTTTCTTTCTATCTTTTCTATTGATATTTTCCCATTTCTTCGTTGATAGATTTCTTTCTGTCTGTCTGTCTGTCTTTCTTTCTTTCTTTTTTTCTATTCTTCCTTTCTATCCTTTCTACTGATATTTTCCCATTTCCTCGTTGATAGATTTCTTTCTTTCTCTCTGTCTGTCTGTCTGTCTTTCTTTCTTTCTTTCTTTCTTTCTTTCTTTCTTTCTTTCTTTCTTTCTTTCTTTTCTTTCTATTCTT